TATATATTTTTTTTTTTATTGTATTGTCTTAACCTCTTAGCACATATTAGCTCTTAATTGGCTGTTTAAAATACTCTGAATGTTTTATATTTTATTTCAGACATACAGTGTCATCCTGCAACTGTTTTGCAGCATATGAAATGTCCCAAACACTATTTTTAACTGTCCAAAATTGGGAATTTTTTTTATTTTTACTCTCTGATAGTAAGAAAGTTAAAAAAACCTGTTAAATATGCATGAAAAAGAATTCAGGAAAAAGTGTTTTATGTAAAATCAGACCACACGTCCACATATATAGATATCATTTTTCTCTAAAAGTATATCATATCAAAAGATAATACTTTGATTTTTATTCTAATTAGATTCAAAAAGCCCAAATAAAAAATGAATGCTAAAGAAAACAGCTTGGGCCTTAAGAGGTTAATAGTGACAACAAAAATGCATGACTGTATGCACAATAACCCACATGATTACATAACATTTCTCTATTTTTATATCTATTTATTTAGTTTTAATATGAACCATTAAGTTTCCACATGGTTATCTTCTGCTGTAGCTGTGCTGGCAGTAATGAGCGTGCAGCTTTTGACTCATTAACTGCGCAAATATTCAGCCTTAATGATGATGTAAACCTGAGTCATGTTTGTCTGTCCTGGATTCACCTCTGCTGTTTCTGCGGATTAAAGAAGATTTTCCAGTGTTCTACTGCGGAGCTGAAGACGAGCACTTCAGTGTCGAGACGCCACTTTGACCTCAATGTGCCACATCTGATTGACATTATAGCGGAGAGCGAGAGAGAGAGAGAGAGCACTGAATAAAAAACATGCTCTAGTCAAAATAACTTTATTCGACAAAGAATATAGTGCAAGTACGCTAAAAATAGCACTTTGGTTGAATGTGAACAGTGGTTCACATGGTAAACGATGTTAAACCAGTTCAAAATGTGTCTATTTAAATGCGTCATTACAGTTTTGTAGGCTGACACGGTGGCTCAGTGGTTAGCGCTGTCACCTCACAGCAAGAATGTTGCTAGTTTGAGTCCCGCTTGGACCAGTTGGCATTTTTGTGTGGAGTTTGCATGTTCTCCCCGTGTTAACATTGGTTTCTTTCAGGAGCTCCGGTTTCCCCCACAGTCCAAACACATGCGCTATAGGGGAATTGATGAACTACACTGTATGAGAGTAAATGTGAGAGTGTAAAGGTGTTTCCCAGTATTGGGTTGCAGCTGGAAGGGCATCCGCTGCGTAAAACATATGCTGGATAAGTTGGTGGTTCATTCCGCTGTGTCGATCCCTAATAAATAAGGGGCTAAATGATGGAAAATGTGTGTTGTGAAAAGCCTCCATTTGCATCTTTAGATGTAAACACAGCTTCTGTCGCATGCATGCACTGATTTGTGTGGTCTGAATGTGATTGCAGCGGATCAAGAAGCTGACGACCCCCAGTGCAGACCTGCGTATGAGGGGCCACGTGGCCTCCAGGGGTCCCTGCGCTATCAATGATGCTGATGCCAAAATGAGGGCGGACGGCAAGATCTCCACCATCACAGAGAAGGAGACGCACTTCTAAACCCAAGACACACTCGTCCCCGGCACGACAGACAGAACAGAGAAGAAACAAATACGTTTGCCTTTATTTTTAAAGAGAGAAGTCTTATTATCACATGTGTAGCGTCGATTTTGTTTTTGTTTTTTTGTGTCGCACAGACAGGTAACGCATCACAATTTAACGTCATGATTAAACACCGTTTTGTGTCAGAGTGTATCTAAATCTAGAGGAAAAGAACACGTCGTCTTCTTCGTCACGTTAGTGGTTTCTGCGCTGAATGATGAAGCTGTGATGTAGGGCTGCACAGTATTGCAATGTTTTGATTTTCTGCGATTTTCCGCATTGTGATGTAAATACAGGGTCTCTGCAGGTTTCTCCAAGTCAAATTTGAAACTTTTTAAAGACTATTATGAATTAAATTTAGCCTCATGGTGGCACAGTGGGTAGCACGTTCACCTCACAGTAAGAAGATCGCTGGTTCGAGCCTCGGCAGGCCAGCATTTGTTGTCCCGCTGCCCGACCCGCCCCATTTTCTACCCGCCGCGCCCGATCCCACTAAAGGGGGGGGGACAAAACCGAAAACCAACCAGCTATAGAGTCCATATATAACAAGCTGTCTGTATAAACACACACACACATAAGCACCAAGCACACACACAGGCAAAGCTCTCTCTCTCTCTCATTCGCACACACACATACACACACAGCAACAAACAAGCTAAACACAGCATCACAGCATTTCATTTACACACATACATACGCGTGCTCGCTCGGGAGTTGGGAGTGATATTGCTAGACGGCCTGCTCCCGTCCCAAATTAAACCTGTTACCGACTGCTCTCGCGCTTTATTCGGTAATTTATTGCGGAAATATATAATGCAGACCTCTATTTGCATGTTCCCCCCACAAGTCCAAAAACATGAAATAGATGATTTGGTAGGCTAAATTGTCCGTAGTGTATATGTGTGAATCAATGTGTGTGTGGATGTTTCCCAGTGATGGGTTGCGGCTGGAAGGGCATCCGCTGTGTAAAACATTTGCTGGATAAGTTGGCGGTTCATTCCGCTGTGGCGACCCCAGATTAATAAAGGGACTAAGCTGAAAAGAAAATGAATGAATGAATATAGCTTACATTTCTGCAATTAATATATGGTGAATCTGATGCTAGTCGACGTAACCTAGTTAAATTGGCATATATATGACATAGGAATCATATCGGTTTATAGTGATGGGTCGTTCATGAACGGTTCGTTCATTTTGAACGAATCTTCAATATGACTCGGAAACTACGAGTCCTCTTAGGGAGTGATTCGTTCATCCGCACGTGCGCACATTTGTGCAGGTGGTATCGTTCATTTCAAGTCTTTTGAGTCGTTCATGGCGGAAAGGCAGAAGCCAATCATTTGCGTTAAGATCCGGAAAAGGAATTGAACCGTTCATCTCTCAAGTCCTCTATCGGGTCTGAGTTATTCCTTCATCACGGGCCAATCATATTTGCGTTTTGACCCGGAAAAATAATTGAACCGTTCATCTCTCGAGTCCTCTATTGGATCCGAGTCATTCGTTCATCACCGGCCAATAATACTCGTTTAGAGCCGGAAAAAGAATTGATCCGTTCATCTCTCGAGTCCTCAGGTTTGAGTCATTCTGTCACGTGATGAACGAACGACTTGAAGAGGTGAACTAATTATCATGGCTCCTATCGACTCAGACCTGTACATTAGTTAAGATTATATGTGACTCTCAGTGTACCGTGAACGAACCACTGACATTTGAAGACATGAAGAGGTGAGCAAAGAGATAAAAATACCTTCATAGAGCAGGTAAACATTAAATTATTATTATCTCCTTCTTATAGTGTTCTATTGATGACTTATTTGTCGTGTGATCAACCTTTTGGGCTCGTTGTAGATGTGTTCGGAAGCAATTCGTAAGATTTTAATAATATTTTGGCAAATAGAACCAAATGAACGAAATGACTCGAAAAAAGATTCGTTCATCTCGATGAACGAGACTCAAAGATCCGAGTCAGTAAAATGATCCGAACTTCCCATCACTATACGTTTAACAGAGGCGAATTTATATGGTCACATTTTCAGTAATCAAATAGCTATCCGATCAGAAAAACACATGATATTACCAGGTGTACACAAACACAATGACTGGTTCCCAGTCGACTATAATCTCACTCAAACTTCCTAAGGGACGAATAAACTAAACCTGAACTTAAACTGAACTGACATTACTGCACTGTGGCTATTGCGGACTGAAAACATTGCAATATCGATGCTGAAATGAAATATTGTGCAGCCCTAATTATAATGTGCTGTGAAATGTTTGCCTGTGGGCTCAGTGCAGATTACTGTAGAGTTTGATTCTAATGGATAGGAGATGTATTGACGACCACTCCAAACGCTGGCTGTATGTCTGTGGATGAGGCTGGGTGTTAGCGGATACGCGCTGATTCGCTGTCCTTCAGCTAGCATTGACTCGCGGGGCGAGCATGACGTAGCGAGCCTATTCGCCACGCCGTCTTACGTGGCTTGAATTCTTGCCCATTTCACAGCAATTAGACTGAGTTTAATTGAAGGTGACAGACCAAACACAGTTTATCACTTGGCTTTCTTTCAGGCTGGTGGTCCGCAGAGTCGTCTCGTCATGAACCCCTCATTAAAGTTCATGTCTTAATAATGCAATGTGATGTTTAAGGGCAGCCCGACGGTTTGCCAGTGAGATTATATTAAAGAGATAGCACTGCTTGGCATGAACACACAGAAATGCACATTTTAAAGCGTCCTTTTCATAAAAGTAATCGGTGCTGTTTTCACTAATCGTGTTGTTTGTGTGAACATTCAGATTAAAGTCTGTGTGAAATAATGCATATAAAATGTAGCTGTAGTAGCTATACTTTAAATGTATTAAAGTAAAATGACTTTACGACACTACTACTTTATTTTCAAAATATTACGACTTTAATCTTACATTATGACTTTATTCTTAAAATATTATGACTTTATTCTCGTATCACTATGACTTTATTTTCGTAATTTCGACTACATTGTTGAAATATTACGACTTTAATCTCATATTACTATGATTTTAATTTCGTAACTTTGACTTTATTCTAGATATATTACAATTTTAATCTCAAATCACCATTACTTTATTTTAGTCATTTTGACTTTATTTCCGAAATATTACGACTTTAATCTCATATCACCACAACTTCATTTCTTGTAGTTTCGACTTTATTCTCAAAATATTACGACTTTAATCTTATATTACGACTTTATTCTCAAAATATTTTGACTTTAATCTCGTATCACTACGACTTTATTTTCATAATTTCGACTTCATTGTTGAAATATTACGACTTTAATCTCATATTACTATGATTTTAATTTCGTAACTTCGACTTTATTCTCAATAAATTACCATTTTAATCTCAAATAAATATGACTTTATTTTCATAATTGCGACTTCATTCTCAAAAATTACGACTTTAATCTCGTATCATTACGACTTTATTTTCGTAATATCGACTTTATTCTCAAAATATTATGATTTTAATCTCGTATTACGACAACTTTATTTCTCTTAATTTCGACTTTATTCTCAAAATAATACGGCTTTAATCTAGTATCACTATGACTGTTTTTTGTAATTTTGACTTTATTCTTGAAATATTTCGGCTTTAATCTCATATCACTACGACTTTATTCACGGAATTTTGACTTTATTCTTAAAATATTATAACTTTATCCAATAGTATCTAGATGCAGCCTTTATGATGCAAGCTGAGATTGCTCAATGGTGCTAGTGACGCCATTGTGAGGGGTAGGGTTAGGTGAGCCCATTAAAAAGCATTGGATGCAGCCCAGATTGCACTGCACCAGGTCTGCATCCAGACCCCTCTCACTTTATCAACAACAAAATTGCATATTGCATATTTTCTCAGTATTGTGCAGCTCTAAACCGGTCAAAAGTATGCAGTGCAAATGTGTTCAATAGACCTTTGCTATCATAAGTCATAAGTCCTTAAACTGCGCTGGATCTGTAATGTACAATATCACACTCAAGAGCACTTTTAATGGTAGTTTTCTCAGGATGCACCGTGAGCCCTGTGCACATGCATGCAGTCTTTGGTCTGGTCTGTTCCATCGTGACATCATCAGTTTGTGCAAGTAAACTTGTTTGTGTTTTAATAGCCTGTTAACTTTTCAGATATTTGTATATTTTTACACGTCTTTAGTTTTTTTGTGAACTATTTCTTGCTGAAAAAAAAATCTGTTTCTCTGAGGACTTTTGATATGTCATTCAACAATCAAGTTCTAGGTGTATATGATGGAACTGTTATATGTGCTGTTTACACACAGATTTTGGTATTCACAGGACATATTGTGTGCTTACTCATTTTTAAAAATAAAAGTTAAAAAAGGTTTGGGCGTCTCAATTATTTTAGATAGTCTGTGTGATATTACCAAGTACAGATAGAAAAAGTAAGATATTTTGGTAGCACTTTACAATAACAGTGCATGAATAATGATGTGTTAATATGTAAACCAAATGTTACTTTATTATGAATTAATGATGTATTAATGCATGTGCTAATCATGAACTACAACATGACACATGACAGTATCATCCAAAAGATCATTAAAAGAGCTTTTAAAATCACAATGAATTAAAGTGATTAAATTACATTAAGTATGCTCTTAATCATTCAATTTACATTGCCTCTAAACAAAAGAAGTAAAATAATCAAATTGCATGGATTTTCTGTTTGCCTAAAGTATTTAATTGAGTGTATTTTCATATTTGGTGATATTACTAGTTGAGAAAAACAAATAATCCACTAAAACAACTGTTCATTTAGTCACCATCAGGCCATCCCATCCTACATGAAAAACTTAAGTTATAGTAATACTACAGTATATGTATTGAAACCATAGATCCGTAGTCAGCCTGGTGAAAGTGGTGGTTCTTATTTCTCACCTTTGTGCAGTTATTCACTTAATTTTCTATTTAAATATGATGTTTAAATACTGCATTTAGTGGCATTTTAAGCACTTTTTATAGCTGGATTAGCTTGTTGGATGGTTATCATAATCACACATTTTGATGTAAAAAAAAATAAAAATATTAACCACCCCCCCCCATCTGTTATTCATTTTATACATATATCATTAGGGGATAAGATATAAATTTAAAACTGTAGCCTATTGTCATTTAGTAAGCAAATAACAAACTGAGCTGCACAATTAACATTCCCCAGATTTCCTCAACTTTCACAATTTGCCCATTTGAATATTGATCAATTAAAAATAAATACATAAAATATTAATACTTTTTTATACTACTACCACTACTACTACTACTACTACTACTACTAATAATAACGTAGAGCTTGATGATTTTTCTAGCCTCTCTTGTAATAAGTACATTTGAAAATGCATGTATACCAACAGTAGCCCAACTGGTATTAAAATTTGGTCTTTTTTTCAAGAATGGAAGAAAGGTCCAAGATTTGGTACAAGTTACGTTCCTTGTAAACTGTTCTCTCTATTTAACAACAATAAAGTAGGTCAGACTCAGTAGTAAAAGATGACTTCATTCACGTCAGATTTTAGCTTTTCACTTTTTATGATGGCATACCAGTCAAAGTAGGACAAATAAGCTCATGTATGGGACAAATTCTGGACCTTTGTCAGCGGAGAACCATCCGAACCCCTGGTATACTACAGTGTATACAGTACTTATTATTTGTGACACTTGATAAATGAATATTGAGGTAAAGTTGGTTTTATATTCGCACATTAATTTAGTGGCAGCTTGTGATTCAGACCTTGATTTGCTACTTTGAATATTTGATTTGAAATATCATGTATGAATGAATTCAAAATAACATTAACACTATTTATTGACTGTAAACAATTTACAATTATTGTACTTTGATAGTCATTGGCTGATAATAGGATTTTCCTATTTAAACATAGTAAAGAATACTTTTCTCAAGTTATATTATTAAGTAGAAATGTAAATGTGCGAATATAAAACCAACTTTACCTCAATCTCCTGCATTCAGTAGTAGCCAGAGTAATCTGATAAAGTGTAGCTAGTTTTTACTACAGTAATCCGTGGTGTATTGTGGCATAACATACTCTATTGTAAAAAAACTACAGTATTGGGTCATTTGTTTACAGTATTACTATAGGTGTTGTGTTTCCATAGCAACTGTAAAATCACCACAACAGATCCACGTAAATACTTTACAATAGTATGGCACAAAACACTACAGTATTTACAAATTACTTTAGATTCTTACCTGAATTTGTTAAATAAATCGACATCATCAAGTGCCATCACTTGAAAACGTAGAGAAAGACAACACTAAGTTAATATCAGTGGCTTCTGGGAATTTATTCGTCGAAACCATCGGAAACCGAACATTTATAACAGTATTACATGTAAATAAAGTCGTTAGGGCGACGCATGCGCGGTAGCGATACTGAACTGAAGCTGCGTCTGTTCAGTTTCACTAACGCGCATGCGTGATGCGAGGGAACGCAGCTGTTGAAGTTAATAATCAAACAACATCAATATCAGGAGCGGTAGTGGTTAATTGTGTGTTTCAGATTAATTTTGTGACCGTGCACCTCAAGCGACAGCATATGACATGAGAGAACGAAAAAAACCATAAGTTAAGCTAAAAACACCTGAACAGCTCATCAAAACAAGTCACCTATAGACATCTACATTAACCTGAGGTGAGTAAAACAACGCCAAATTATCAGTTGTGTTGACTACTGTTATAAGTTTAGCCTTGTGAACAGCTTCAGCAAGTCCACAGCCGGTTCACATACTGTACTACATACATTAAAAACACTCAAGAAGTTTGTTAAATAAATGCACAAATCAGAAAAGTAAAACTATTAATTATTATATTAAATGGTATATTCTTATATCTAAGTGTTCAGCATATATGAGTACACCCCTCACAAATCTCTCATTTAAATTAATATTTTCTATAAGCCCTGCTGAAAAATCCAGCTTAAACCAGCCTAGGCTGGTTGGCTGGTTTTTAACTGGTCAACCAGCCTGGTTTTAGATGGGTTTTGGCCACTTCCAGGCTGGTTTCCAGCCATTTCCAGCCTGGTCTTAGCTGGTCAGGCTGAGAGATGACCAGCTAAAACCAGCTTGACCAGCCTAGCCAAGTTGGGAGTCCAGCCAAAACCAGCTATATCCAGTTTCAACCAGGCTGGTTGAGCTGGTTTTAGCTGGCTGGTCATTTTCCAGCCTGACCAGCTAGGACCAGGCTGGAAATGGCTGGAAACCAGCCTGGAAATGGCCAAAACCCCTCTAAAACCAGGCTGGTTGACCAGTTAAAAACCAGCCAACCAGCCTAGGCTGGTTTAAGCTGGATTTTTCAGCAGGGCTTATAGAAAATATTAATTTAAATGAGAGATTTGTGAGGGGTGTACTCATATATGCTGAACACTTAGATATAAGAATATACCATTTAATATAATAATTAATAGTTTTACTTTTCTGATTTGTGCATTTATTTAACAAACTTCTTGAGTGTTTTTAATGTATGTAGTACAGTATGTGAACCGGC